ACAATGACCTTTTACCTTGTGTACATAAAGGAGTTCACTACAGCAAAAGGCTAAAATGCCCACATAAAATAACAGAGTAGCATACTTGAGGGTGAACCATTTAAATAGGTGAAATCTCAAAAATAACAGAATGAAAAATATGTCAGGGCATTGCAGAGCCAAGCAGAATCAAAAAAGAATATGATTCAAATATTAACTCAGAGTGCACTTCAAAATTTCAGTGCACAAGCCGCTACGATCACTTCAGAATACGTGGTGCAGAACGTAGGTTTTTTGCCACAGCTTTAATTACCATGAGCTGAATCTACCTCTAATCAACAAGCCTGGGCACATTAGCTTATCCATCATGGGTTGACCCAAGGCAGCTCTCTCAAGATCAGTCCAGAGTCAACACTCGCCTCCTGTCAGGGTGATCAATTTAATATTTATCCCAACACCATGTTACTTAGCTGAGATTAGATTTGACGTTTAGAACACAGATACCCAAACAATATATACTGTTATATTTTACAACATTTTAGCCATAGCATGCTTGCAGCTATCAATACTGCATTTATGGTAACTTACCCCAACATCTTAACAATTCCTATACGTTATTGCAGTCTTACTGGTTAGTTACCAACTTCCAAAAAAAACCAAAACTCCCTCTAACTTGCGCAACTTGCAGTGTACCTGCCCTTTCGTGGTTACTATAGCAAAGCTTACAACCCAATTATTTCTATTCTCCTACTTCCTATTATTATTTCTATAAGCACGCTTGGCAGATGAATTATATTTTACGAAAACTACAGATCCTCCCTGATCACTTCAGGGGTCAGTGTGATGGGGCGTCCATACCACACAGGACTGGAAATTTGTAAGGTGGCCAGATAGGCCTATTAACCCCACTGGCTGCACCTGGAGCAAGAGCCAGGGAGTGGGAATGAATTGCAAGCAGGTTCAGCTGGGCAGGACTAGGCAGGGCCTATAAATCCAGGAAGTTGGCAACAAACAGGGGTAGCTGCTGGGAAAGGGCAGCCACTCCCTGTGAAGAGGGAGAGGGGTTGGGAGTGGTTCACCCAGAGTAAGGAGGGAAACCAGAAGTTGTAGGAAGCAGGCCAGGAAAGGTGCAGTGAGGGCTGGGAGAATGAAGCCCAGAACTGCTGGCCTGAGGGTCCCTGGACTGGAACCGGGAGAGAGGGCAAGCCCAGGTTCCCCTGCCAGCTGCTGAGGGAGTGGCACCTGAGGAGTGAATGGGAAGACTACCTAGGACTGCTGAAGGAAAGACTTTGATACACCCCAGAAAGGGGGACTGGCGAATGACCAGGCTGGAGGGCGGAGTCACAAAGAGGACGCTGCAGGTCCTGAGATGAGAGAATTGCTGCAGACCTGGGAGAGAGACAGTGTGACGGCATGCGAGCACGGGAATTATAGAATCATAGAATCTAAGGGTTGGAAGGGACCCCAGAAGGTCATCTAGTCCAACCCCCTGCTCGAAGCAGGACCAATTCCCAATTAAATCATCCCAGCCAGGGCTTTGTCAAGCCTGACCTTAAAAACCTCCAAGGAAGGAGATTCTACCACCTCCCTAGGTAATGCATTCCAGTGTTTCATCACCCTCTTAGTGAAAAAGTTTTTCCTAATATCCAATCTAAACCTCCCCCACTGCAACTTGAGACCATTACTCCTCGTTCTGTCATCTGCTACCATTGAGAACAGTCTAGAGCCATCCTCTTTGGAACCCCCTTTCAGGTAGTTGAAAGCAGCTATCAAATCCCCCCTCATTCTTCTCTTCTGCAGGCTAAACAATCCCAGCTCCCTCAGCCTCTCCTCATAACTCATGTGTTCCAGACCCCTAATCATTTTTGTTGCCCTTCGCTGGACTCTCTCCAATTTATCCACATCCTTCTTGTAGTGTGGGGCCCAAAACTGAACACAGCACTCCAGATGAGGCCTCACCAATGTCGAATAGAGGGGAACGATCACATCCCTCGATCTGCTCGCTATGCCCCTACTTATACATCCCAAAATGCCATTGGCCTTCTTGGCAACAAGGGCACACTGCTGACTCATATCCAGCTTCTCGTCCACTGTCACCCCTAGGTCCTTTTCCGCAGAACTGCTGCCTAGACATTCGGTCCCTAGTCTGTAGCTGTGCATTGGGTTCTTCCATCCTAAGTGCAGGACCCTGCACTTATCCTTATTGAACCTCATCAGATTTCTTTTGGCCCAATCCTCCAATTTGTCTAGGTCCTTCTGTATTCTATCCCTCCCCTCCAGCGTATCTACCACTCCTCCCAGTTTAGTATCATCCGCAAATTTGCTGAGAGTGCAATCCACACCATCCTCCAGATCATTTATGAAGATATTGATGAAAACCGGCCCCAGGACCGACCCTTGGGGCACTCCACTTGATACCGGCTGCCAACTAGACATGGAGCCATTGATAACTACCTGTTGAGCCCGACAATCTAGCCAGCTTTCTACCCACCTTATAGTGCATTCTTCCAGCCCATACTTCCTTAACTTGCTGACAAGAATACTGTGGGAGATCGTGTCAAAAGCTTTGCTAAAGTCAAGAAACAATACATCCACTGCTTTCCCTTCATCCACAGAACCAGTAATCTCATCATAAAAGTCGATTAGATTAGTCAGGCATGACCTTCCCTTGGTGAATCCATGCTGGCTGTTCCTGATCACTTTCCTCTCATGCAAGTGCTTCAGGATTGATTCTTTGAGGACCTGCTCCATGATTTTTCCAAGGACTGAGGTGAGGCTGACTGGCCTGTAGTTCCCAGGATCCTCCTTCTTCCCTTTTTTGAAAGATTGGCACTACATTAGCCTTTTTCCAGTCATCCGGGACTTCCCCCGTTCGCCACGAGTTTTCAAAGATAATGGCCAATGGGAAGGGGCGTCGACCTTGAGAGCTAATCCCCAGCGTGACCAGGAGGGGGCACCAGACAAGCGGCAAGGGGAGCACCCCTTGACAATCAACACCAGCAACAACAGCTGCCAATCAGAACTGGGCCGAGTCCCGCTGCCCAGCAACGCACAGACCAGCCCTTCCAGGCCCTGGAGCTCCCTCCCGCCGAGCAGCAAACGCTTTGTTCTCCAGGAGCCGTAATGAGCTCCAGGTGGCAAACTGAGATGACGACCGGGTGGAACATCCCTGACTGGCAGCTGCACAGCACAGAACTCGAACGGGCTGACTCCATGGGCGCCGAACAGGCAACCCACCCAAGCCCACAGGAAGCCCATGACACTTGGCCAACCTCTAAGGCTTTGCCTAAACAGAGGATTTGCTTCAGTTGCTGCCATGGAGACAGCTCCGCCCTCTCACCCAGGCAGAGCTCACTCCTGCTTGACACCGAGGTCAACTGCAGGTTGCTGCAGAGCAGCTGCACAGATGGCCGGCCCTGAGCGTGTGCAATGTGACTGAAGGAAACGCAAAGCGAAGCCAATGCCAGCCCAGCCCAGCCCAAAAGCCACCATGCAGACGCTGCCCCTGGTGGCTGGGTACAATAAACCCACATGCACACATCTAATAACCACACTCGCAGTAAGTTATGGCATCCGCCACTCTCAACAGGAGCCCGGCTCAGCTGGACGTCATAAAATCATAGAGTATCCGGGTTGGAAGGGACCTCAGGAGGTATCTAGTCCAACCCCCTGCTCAAAGCAGGACCAATCCCCAACTAAATCATCCCAGCCAGGGCTTGGTCAAGCCTGACCTTAAACACCTGTAAGGAAGGAGATTCCACCACCTCCCTAGGTAACGCATTCCAGTGCCTCACCACCCTCCTAGTGAAATCGTGTTTCCTGATATCCAACCTAGACCTCCCCCACTGCAACTTGAGACTGTTACTTTCCTCCCCACATCACCTCCCCACGGCCGAGCCAGTACGAGCCACGCTGAGCTGGGCTTGGATTTAATCTTGGCCGACTCTGTGCAACCCCAGCCCGCAATTTGTGTCTTCCCTGAGTCCTCCCTCTGGTCCCGTCCCCGTGCGACGGGCCCCTGTGTCTAGAGCTCAGGAAGGGTGGTCTCCTTTTGCAGGCACTGAACAGGGACTCTGAAGATCTAAGCTGACTCCCCGCAGACTCCTTGTGTGACCCTGGCCACGTCCTTGTGTCTCCCGGTGCCTCAGTTCCCCTCTGTAACATGGGGACCACAGCACTGCCTTCCCTCACTGGAGAGTTGGGGCCACAAATCCAGTAACAAGGGTGAGGAGCTCAGAACTATGGCTGGGTCATATAAGTACCTGGAGAGAGATGGAAGGTCCGCAGCTGATTACAGAGAGCCTAGGCGGGTGGATTTCTGGCCCAGTCCGCACTGGCTGATGGCATTAAGCTATTACTGTCCTTGCATACCCTCAATAGAGCCGTGACCTCATTGAGGGCAGGAGCTGCCCAAATGGGCCTCACAAGGCCGATTTAGGTCACCTGACCAGCCTCACAAGGCCAATTTAGGTCACCTGACCAGCCAAGAGAGAGAGAAAAAATTACTTCTAACATACCCTTGGACTTCAGACACTGGGCAGCCCACCTGTCCCCATGCCCCGCAAACAAGGACAGCTCCCTGGCTTGCCAGCATCCTCTGGGAAGAGAGCCAGGAAACTGGATTTAATGAATGGGGATTTCACAGGCACCTGTCCCCCTGAACAGTACCCACACCCCAGCTGAGAGGGGAGAGGGCCCAGTGCCTGGCGCTGCCGGGGAACTCTGGCCCAGGGCATCAGGGCAAACCGCACCTCTGAGGGAGAGAGGCCTGGGTCTTCTGAGTGCCCTGAGATTTGAACCATGGTTGCAGGGGGCCCTGGGGGTTCACCCCAGGGAGGGTTCACCGGGCTAGGGTCACCTTAAACCCGCCCAGACGGCTGATCTCGGGGCTGGATCAGGACGTCCAACTCCCCCTCGGCCGGGTGTCCCCAGGGTGACTCTAACTAAGCCCCGATTGGCTGAGCCACATGGGAGTTTCCCAACACACCTCTCCCGGCCCGAGACGGCCCGGGGCAGCGGGGCCCCTTCAGCCAGGACTGGTCCCGGGAGAGGGGCGCGGTCGGGGCAGAGCCAGCGGCTTCCCCGGGGGCTGGGCCAGGAGCTGCCCGGGGCAGGGACGCCTGGAGACCGGCCCCGGGCCAGTGTTCGCCCCATGTCCCAGCGAGGGGGCTCCCGGCCGGGACCCGAGTCCCCGCCTGGGGTCTCTCCGCTGAGCGCCCCGCGGGACCGGGCAGCGCCCTCCGCAGCCCCCGCCTGCCGCCCATGCCCCGGCCCTGTCCCCGCAGCGCCCGGCCCCATGGACCGGCCCGGCCCGGGCTCGGGCAGCAGCTTCCCGGCGCTGATCCGCAAGAAGCGGGACGGGGAGACGCTGCGGGATGAGGAGATTCGCCACTTCGTCCGGGCCGTGACCCGCGGGGGGCTCCAAGAGGGGCAGATGGGTGAGATGGGCCGGGCACCCCCAGAGCCGACCCGGGGACCTCGGCGGGGGCGGGCGCGAGGGTCCCGGGGGGGTGGTCCCAGGGGGGTACTTCCTGGGGAGATGGGGAGCCCAGGGGGCAGGGGGTCCGGGGGCGATGGGGAACAGGGGTTAGGTCCTGGGGGGATGGAGGACCCAGGGGGAAGGCAGGCCCTGGGGGTGGGGGATGCAGGGGGCAGGTGGATTCTGGAGAGATGGGGATTAGGTCCTGGGGGGATGAGGAACAGAGCAGGCAGGCAAGTCCAGAGGGGAGGGAGACAGGGGTTAGGTCTTGAGGGTATGGGGGACCCAGGGGGCACGCGGGTCCTTGGAGGGATGGGGAACAGGAGTTAGGTCCTGGGGGTGGGGGATGCAGGGAGCAGGTGGGTCCTGGAGAGATGGGGATTAGGTCTTGGGGGGACAGGGGACACAGGGGGCAGGCAGGTCCCTGGCAGGATGGGGACCAGGGGTCTCTGCTCTGAGCTGAGAAATGGGCTCCCAGACTGAGTTGGACGTGGATCCTAGGGGAGCCCCGTCTGCTTTGGCCCCGACGCAGCGATGGGCTGGTTCTGCCCAGGACAGGAGGCCCTAAAATGCCTGGAGTTAATTGCTCCCCTGGGTGGACTCCCGCCCATCCCCTCCTCTCCCCACAACACACCCCAGCCTGCCCATTCCCAGACCTGTGCGACCCTGGACCATCACACCCTGCCCAGTTCCCATCAGTGCAGGTACTGCGCATCCCCCCGAGCTCTGCCTCCAACCCCCGGTACTCAGCCCTGGCTCTGTCCCCCAGGGGCCATGCTGATGGCCATCCGGCTGCGGGGCATGGATCCGGACGAGACGCTGACTCTGACCCGGGAGATGGTGGTGTCGGGAAGGGTCCTGGAGTGGCCTGACAGCTGGCAGAGGCTCCTGGTTGACAAACACTCCACAGGGGGCGTGGGAGACAAGGTCAGCCTGCCCCTGGCCCCGGCCCTGGCTGCCTGCGGCTGCAAGGTGAGTGCCAGGGCCCAGCAGCCTCTGCTCCCTGCGCAGAGGCCCGAGTGGGGCCCAGGGGTTCATGGCAACCCCACGCGCCTGCCCGGGTCCCCATAGCCATGCCTAGAAGGGTGGAGTTGAAGATGGGTGTGCTAGGAACCCGGAGAGGCCTGTGTCTCTCAGCAGGTGGGGCTGGCAGCGTGATAGTGGGTACACCCAGGTGCCCTGCTGCTGGCCTGGGTCTGCCATTGTACAACTGCCAGCAGAGATGGGTGCCCTGGCAGAGCCTCTGCCCGGTGTGCGTTCCCTTTGGCACCAAGGAAAGGGGCTCATCCCTCCCCATCTCTCCTGCCCGGCTGCCTCTCACCAGGGCCTGTGGCTTTTTCCTCCCCTGCCAGGTGCCCATGATCAGTGGCCGGGGTCTGGGCCATACCGGGGGCACGCTGGACAAGCTGGAGTCCGTGCCAGGGTTCAACATCTCTCAGAGCTCCGAGCAGGTGAGGGGGCCGCGGCAGGGGCTGAGTCCGTGCCAGGGGAGGGAGACCCGAGGGCCTGCCTGGTATTGTGCTGCCCCCAATCCGGTGCCCCGTGCCTCTGGGACAATGGGAGGGGGCACAGAGCAAGCATCCATAGGGGCTCAGCCCATGAAAGGGGTGTCTGATGGAGGCAGGGGGAGACCTGAGCCGGGGGAGAGCCAGTCAGTGCCTTGGTGCTCCCCTCATCCAGGCTTCTCACTGAGCCCCTCAGACAGCTGGGCATCCTGCGCCCAGTGCCTCTGCCCATCACCAGGGGCAGGCATCTGGGCTCTGCCCACCTCCTGGCACTTGGCTGTTGCCCAGAAAGGGCCCTGCTGGGGTAACTGGCCGCACCTGGCTTTGGGGGGTGCATGGGGTCACACACTGACAGCCCCTCCCCACTGCTGCAGATGAGGAGCATCCTGGAATGTGTGGGGTGCTGCATTGTGGGGCAAAGCAAGGATCTGGTCCCAGCAGACAAGGTGCTCTACGGCCTGCGGGACGTCACGGCCACCATCGACAGCCTGCCCCTCATCACAGGTACCACAGCAACTGCCCCCACCCTGACGCCTGGCTGCCTCCCCCGGGGCCTTTGCAGGGGGCAGAGGAAAGTGGGGTGGCACTGATGGGGCAGGCGTCCCTGGAATCTACACTGTGGCTGCCCCCTTGGGGTGGCAGAGCCCGCAAGGCGCAGTGGGAGCCAGCGCTCTTCACCCAGTCAGCGATGTCTGAGATCCAGGGGGGACTGGGAATGGTGAGGACCGTGGGGGGCCCAGGAGGCTGCCCGTTGGGCTGGGAGACCCACGTTCAGAGAGAAGAGAGCTGACCTCTCACCCCAAAGTCCAGCCCCCACCAGCCCTGGTGTGAACTCCTTCCCCTTGGGCTGGCTCAGAGCAAAGAGCTCACCCCTTGTGCCGTGCATGGCGTCACTGCCCAGCAGCGGGTCGGCCAGGGGACTCGCAGGAGGGGAGACGGTCGGTGGGAGCCAGAGAGCAGAAATCAAGGCAGGGCATGGCAGCAGTCCCCGGGGCAGCAGCGCCCTGCCCCAGCAATGGAGGTGCCCAGGCCTCCCCATCTCTGAGCCGGCCTCCCCCTGACTCTGCAGCTTCCATTCTGAGCAAGAAGGCAGCAGAGAAGGTCTCGGCCCTGGTGCTGGACGTGAAGTTTGGCAGCGCTGCCCTCTACACCAGCCTGGAGAGCGCCCGGACCCTGGCCCAGAGCCTGGTGAACACCCAGACCCGCCAACCCTGGGACAGGGGGCACAGCCATCCCCACCCACCCCAGGAGCCCCGAGTGGCCTGACCTCCTCCCTACTCTGCTTGCAGGCGCCTCCTGTCCGCCCACAATCCCTATGCTGACTGGCCTCCCCGGCCCTCTCCCTATGGGGCTAGAGGCCTCCTACAGGTCCCTGACACCGGGAGCCGTGCCCCGTTCCCATACCTGTGCTCTGGCACAAAGGGAGCTGGGACGTGTCCGTCACTCCAAGACAACCCCCAGAGAAAGGTCTGTTCTTCCTGGGGAGCCGAGTCTGCCATGTGCAGCAGGACGGCAGGGTGAGGCCAGGCCAGGCAGGGCAGGAAGGGAGGGGTGCTGGGACCCTCAGCCAGCCACACGGTCTGCAGCCCCCGTGAGATGGTGATGCAGGGTGAGAGCTGCCCCCCGTCCCCTGGGGAGACGCCAGGCTCCTGTCCCCAGGCCCAGCTGTCCCAAACACTCTCGGCCCCTCCCTCCCATCCCTGCAGGTGTCGGTGGGCAGCCAGCTGGGGATCTGCACGGTGGCCATGCTCAGCAAGATGGATGGGCCTCTTGGGCAGCGCGTGGGCCACTCCCTGGAGGTGCTGGAGGCCCTGCAGTGCCTGGAGGGCCAGGGGCCGGCGGATCTGCACCAGCTGGTCACCACGCTAGGTGTGGGGAGCTCAGGAATTGCAGTGCTGGGGGAGACGACAGCTGCCCGAGGGTTAATGCCATGAACATGGGCGGCAGGTGACCCGGGGGCTTTGGGAGGCTAGCTCTTAGCTGGACCGCCCCATCTGCCCAGGGGCCCCATACCTCCCACCCTCCTTCCCCCACCGGAGCCCAGACCCCCCCCACCAGCCCCGGGCCACCCGAATACTCCCCACTCCCCTCAGCCCTGAATCCCCAGGCAGGTAAGCAGCTGAGCGCGGCCCCCAGCACGGCAGGCAGTGCAGCTCCAGCCCCCGAAGGCCAGGCAGGCGGGCAGCTCGAGCCCTGGCTCCAGCCACCCAGAATCCCTGGCTGCAGGCTGGCCCCCACTAACCCCAACCCCAGCCGGGGCAAGGATGCCGGAGCCCTCCCAAAAGGTGGGGGTGAAAGCAGCCCCCTGCCTGCCCCCAGCTGCCTGCCCAGCTCTCCCCCAGCGCAGCTCTCCCCGACCCGGCTCCAGCTGGGGGGGGCCCTTGGAGCCACAGCCCAGCCATGACAAGAGCCGGGCAGGCAATTGTGGGGAGCCTTGGCAGACCCTGTACCTGCCCGCAGTGCGGGGGGGCCCAAGCAGCCCCAGGCCCATGCCCCTGCCCCCCCACATGCCCCACACCCAGGGCCGTGCGGCTCTTATCTGGGTCAGACTGCGGCTCCGAGGCCCCCCCACAGCCGGAGCCAGGTCAGTGAGACGCGCGGGCCGTGTGAGGAGCCGACGTGGAGGCGCTCGAGTGAACCTCCACACAAAGCGGCCACCTCCTAGCGCCAGCCCTTTGTCCCCTCCTGCCCCTGGCCAGGCTACAGTCATATCCCCCCGCACCCGTGAGGAGAAGTGGGGGGCGGAGGCCAGTAGCTGAGAGCGGCTATGGCCATTGGGCTCCCCGTCACAGCACGGTGACTGGGTGGAACGGGGCCCGTGGGCAAGCCTGGGGGCAGGGCGTGTCGGGGACGACGGGACGAGGAGCAGCACCTTGGGGCAGAGGGGCGGGAGGGGGCTGCGGGAGGGAGGGGGGTCTCCGTGGGTAGGAGCGAGACCCCAGCCCCTCTCTCCCTGCGCAGGGGGCTCTCTGCTATGGCAGTGCGGGGAGGCTGGCTCGGTGGGGCAGGGCGCTGCCCGCATCGCAGCCACGCTGGCGGATGGCTCGGCGCTGGGGAAGTTCCAGGCCATGCTGCAGGCCCAGGGAGTGGAGGCCGGCGTGGCCCGGGCCCTGTGCACAGGAACGGAGGAGCAGCGCTACCAGGTGCTCGGCAGGGCTCGGGCCCAGGAGGAGCTGCCCGCTGCCCAGGACGGTAAGCAGGGGCGGGCAACGAGGGTGGGGCAGCCCCAGCCTGCAGGAGGAGCTGCTCTCTGCCCCTCATCGCAATAGGAACCAAGGGAGCCGGTGCTGGGGAGAGGGGCCCAGGCTAGTGCCCCCTGCCCGGGCCCAGAGGGACACCCTTGGGCAAGAGGGGAGGGCAGGCCAGTGGGATAGGCAGCTTGTGCTGCCCCCCGCACCTCCATGTCCCCAGATTCCCGCCACCATCCCCACATCTGTGCTCCCTGTGACCCCGGCTCGCAGGCTGGTCTGGTGCCTCAGTAACTGCTGGCCCGTCTCCGCCCTTCTCCCCAGGCACAGTGCAGCGGGTCGAGGCCCTGCCCATCGCCCTGGTGCTGCATGAGCTGGGCGCCGGCCGCACCCAGAAGGGGCAGCCCATCAACCACCTTGTGGGGGCCGAGCTGCTGGTGACGGTGGGGCAGCGCGTGGCTAAAGGTAAGAGCCAAGCGCGCCCCGCCCAGGGCGCCAACATGCAGGGCTCTCCAACCACCCCCTGCTCTGCGCTGCCTGCCCTGGGGTCTGCTGCTGGGGCCAGACAAGGGGGCAGAGTCCGGCCAGGACTTCTGTCTATCTTAGGGTTTTATTCCGCTGCCCATTCCCATGGTATCTGACCTGCTCTGGGGCACCCATCCCGAGCTGCGCCCAAGTGCCCTTTGCCTGGCAGTTATTCTGCAGCTGGCAATGCCAGTTCAGTAGTCCAGAGCCTGGGGGCTCACTTGGGTTCCCTTTGCCTGGGTGTAGGTGGCACTTCTGGACTGAGGGCCCCTGGGCTGGAGACTGGCTTGAGGAGGGGAGAGACACCCGGGCACTACCCCCTACCAAACTGCAAACGGGGTAACTGGCTGGGATTAGAGCAGGTGGAGGGAGTGGTAGGGACTCGTGAGGAGGGGTGCCCACTTGGAGAGCCCCAGCCCATGACTTCTGAGACCCCAAGAAGACCTGGGACGCGCCTGCCTCCCCTCCCTTGGGTTAGGAACCAGTTGGTTCTACTTTGGGTCCTGTTTTGATCCCATCTCTGCCCAGGAAACGAGGCCCTTGCTGCCCATCCCAGCCCCGGCAGGTGCACCCCAAGAGCCCCGCTCCCTCCCAGTGCTGTCCTTCCCCACGCCCAGCAGGGGGTGACAAGTGTCTCAGCCCCTGCCCCCCATCTCTGTAGGTTCACCCTGGATCCGGATTCACTACGACACCCCGGAGCTCAGCAACGATCAGAGACAGACCCTGCAGGAGGCGCTGGTCCTGGCAGGCTCGGAGCCCTTCCTGCCCAGCTGCAAGGTCGCAGAGGTTGTCCTGCCACAGGGCAGCCGGACACTGGAGGAGCTGACAGAGGAGCAGGGCTTGGGGAGCAGCCAGGAACTGCTCTGCTCCGCCTGAAGGGAGGGATCCCCAGCCGCTGCCCCCATGGACCCTCTGACTCCTGGACAGTGCAACTCGCCACCACCCTTCAGCCCCACGGCCAGCCCCTGCCAGCATTAACGACTGGGCAATAAAGCGTCTTGCTCTGCTACCCCCTAGTGGCCATTTGTGGTAACAGCCTGTCCCTCCCCCTCTGCTGCACTGCAGCCAGATGGTTTGGGCTGGGCCAGACACTTGGCTCTAGGGGTGCTGCCGCCTAGAACGACCCAGCCCGCCCGTCCTGTCACTGGCACCCTCGGGTGTCTGCCTTGCCACCACGATTCAGGCAGGCCGCTCACGTCAGGCTGCCGCAAGCTGCTGTTCTGCCCTCGCCCCCCCGTGGGGACAAAGCGACTCCATTCGACACCTTCCTCGACCGCGGGCGGCCTGCACTGGGGTGTTCAACGGGCCACTCCTGGCAAGGGCCCACCCCAGGTCTCTCGACGTGCATGCAGCCCTCCCACTAGGGGTCACGTGCTGGGGCTGGATCGGGCACCCCCAAGTTTGGGGGAGCCATGGGGGGGCATCCCCAGCCAGGGCTGCCCCCCATGCCCAACAAAGCCCCCTGGCTGGGGAGGGGCTCTGCAGGGGCATGGGAGACACGCCCAGCAGGGAGCTCTGCAGGAGGGGGGTGTGGGGGACACCCCCAGATGGGGGTGCTGTGCGGGAAGGGGGCACCAATTGGGGGGTTCTGTTGGGGGAGGGTGGAACCCCCAATCTGGGGGCTCTGCAGGAGGGAGGGGACACCCCCAGATGGGGGTTCATAGAATCATAGAAGGTCAGGGTTGGAAGAGACCTTGGAAGGGACCTCAGGAGGTCATCTAATCTAACCCCCTGCTTGAAGCAGGACCAATCCCCAGTTTTTGCCCCAGATCCTTAAATGGCCCCCTCAAGGTTTGAACTCGCAACCCTGGGTTTAGCAGGCCAATGCTCAAAGCACTGAGCTATCCCCCCCCCCGGGTTCTGCGGGGGGAGGGACACCCCTAGATGGGGGTTCTGTGTGGGGAGGGGGGAATTGGGGAGCACCGGGGGGGGAGGGGGACACCCCCAGTACAGGGTTCTGTCGGGGGAGGGGGTCGAGCCCTCGCAGCCCCGCGCGCGCCCAGCGCTGTGCGGGCAGCGCCCCCTGCTGCCGGCAGCCGGGTATTACACATGAGCCGCGGAGCCCAGAGCGCAGGCGCAGCGTTAGCGTCCGGGCGGGGCCCGAGTGCCCGCGCTCTGAGAAGGGGAGGGGGCTGTACAACCACGCATGCGTTGGGCGGGGCCCTGGGTGCGCGTGTTGGCGTTGGGGGATTCGCCACGGCACTTCCTGGTTTGGGCGCGCCCCGCCCCGGCGCGCGCTCGGAGCGAATCTGCCGGTGGAGAGAGAGCACGGCGCTGCCGCCAGGTGGGAGGAGGGAGCTCGGCGCCGGGCTGGCGGGGGGCTGCGGGTCGGGAGTGGGGGGCACCGGCAGAGCTGGGGGGGCTGCGGGTCGGGAGTGGGGGGCACCGGCAGAGCTGGGGGGGCCGGGCTGGGCTAGGCTAGCGGGGGGCTGCGGGTCGGGAGTGGGGGGCACCGGCAGAGCTGGGGGGGCTGGGCTAGCGGGGGGCTGCGGGTCGGGAGTGGGGGGCACCGGCAGAGCTGGGGGGGGGCTGCGGGTCGGGAGTGGGGGGCACCGGCAGAGCTGGGGGGGCTGGGCTAGCGGGGGGCTGCGGGTCGGGAGTGGGGGGCACCGGCAGAGCTGGGGGGGCTGCGGGTCGGGAGTGGGGGGCACCGGCAGAGCTGGGGGGGCTGGGCTAGCGGGGGGCTGCGGGTCGGGAGTGGGGGGCACCGGCAGAGCTGGGGGGGGGCTACGGGTCGGGAGTGGGGGGCACCGGCAGAGCTGGGGGGGGGGCTGGGCTAGCGGGGGGCTGCGGGTCGGGAGTGGGGGGCACCGGCAGAGCGGGGGGGCTGGGCTGGCCGGGGGCTGCGGGTCGGGAGTGGGGGGCACCGGCAGAGCTGGGGGGGCTGCGGGTCGGGAGTGGGGGGCACCGGCAGGGCTGGGCTGGCCGGGGGCTGCGGGTCGGGAGTGGGGGGCACCGGCAGAGCTGGGGGGCTGGGCTGGGCTAGCGGGGGGCTGCGGGTCGGGAGTGGGGGGCACTGGCAGGGCTGGGCTGGCCGGGGGCTGCGGGTCGGGAGTGGGGGGCACCGGCAGAGCTGGGGGGGGCTGGGCTGGGCTAGCGGGGGCTGCGGGTCGGGAGTGGGGGGCACTGGCAGGGCTGGGCTGGCCGGGGGCTGCGGGTCGGGAGTGGGGGGCACCGGCAGAGCTGGGGGGGGCTACGGGTCGGGAGTGGGGGGCACCGGCAGAGCTGGGGGGGCTGGGCTAGCGGGGGCTGCGGGTCGGGAGTGGGGGGCACCGGCAGAGCGGGGGGGCTGGGCTGGCCGGGGGCTGCGGGTCGGGAGTGGGGGGCACCGGCAGAGCTGGGGGGGGCTGGGCTAGCGGGGGGCTGCGGGTCGGGAGTGGGGGGCACCGGCAGAGCTGGGGGGGCAGGGCTGGGCTAGCGGGGGGCTGCGGGTCGGGAGTGGGGGGCACTGGCAGGGCTGGGGGGCAGGGCTGGGCTAGCGGGGGGCTGCGGGTCGGGAGTGGGGGGCACCGGCAGAGCTGGGGGGGGGGCAGGGCTGGGCTAGCGGGGGGCTGCGGGTCGGGAGTGGGGGGCACTGGCAGGGCTGGGGGGCAGGGCTGGGCTAGCGGGGGGCTGCAGGTCGGGAGTGGGGGGCACTGGCAGGGCTGGGCTGGCCGGGGGCTGCGGGTCGGGAGTGGGGGGCACCGGCAGAGCTGGGGGGGCTGGGCTGGGCTAGCGGGGGGCTGCGGGTCGGGAGTGGGGGGCACCGGCAGAGCTGGGGGGGCTGGGCTGGGCTAGCGGGGGCTGCGGGTCGGGAGTGGGGGGCACTGGCAGGGCTGGGCTGGCCGGGGGCTGCGGGTCGGGAGTGGGGGGCACCGGCAGAGCTGGGGGGGCTGCGGGTCGGGAGTGGGGGGCACCGGCAGAGCTGGGGGGGCTGGGCTAGCGGGGGGCTGCGGGTCGGGAGTGGGGGGCACCGGCAGAGCTGGGGGGGCTGGGCTGGGCTAGCGGGGGGCTGCGGGTCGGGAGTGGGGGGCACCGGCAGAGCTGGGGGGGCCGGGCTAGCGGGGGGATGCGGGTCGGGAGTGGGGGGCACTGGCAGGGCTGGGGGGGGCTGCGGGTCGGGAGTGGGGGGCACCGGCAGAGCTGGGGGGGCTGGGCTAGCGGGGGGCTGCGGGTCGGGAGTGGGGGGCACCGGCAGAGCTGGGGGGGGCTGCGGGTCGGGAGTGGGGGGCACCGGCAGAGCTGGGGGGGCCGGGCTAGCGGGGGGTGCGGGTCGGGAGTGGGGGGGCACTGGCAGGGCTGGGCTGGCCAGGGGCTGCGGGTCGGGAGTGGGGGGCACCGGCAGAGCTGGGCTGGTGGGGGGCTGTGGGTCGGGAGCGAGGGGCACCGGCAGAGCTGGGGGAGTGTGGGGCTGGCGTACCAGGGGGCTGTGGGGCATCGGCAGCGCTGGGGGGAGCCCAGTGCTGCAGTGGGAGGGGCGTGGCTGGAAGGCTGGAGCCAGGTCTATCCGCACAGAGCCGAGGGAGGTGAGGGTCGCCCCATGGTCCAGGAGCCTCTAGCCTGAGCTCCAGCATTACCAGGCTTCTGCTGCTATGCGGGTCTAAAGTCGGTTGTTTCTCCCATCTCTGTTCTGGCTTCCCACGATCTCCCCGGGCCTGGCCCGCAGGCCGCCCACAATTCCCGCAGTGCAGAATGCTACGGATGAGCCCAGCCCAAAACACTCGTTACTTGAGGCTTTTTCGTCCTTTCAGCTTTGCCCAGGATGTTTCAGACCCTCCCGCTCCGGAGCCGCTGGCCCTTTGCCCCATGTGGTGCCCAGCAGCTCAGCCTCCAGGGGAAATCCTGGGCTTTCCGGGAACGTGCCCAGAGATGCCCTCCAGCCGGCTGCGCCAGGTGGTTTGAAGCGACAGCCCATAAAACAGTCTGGCCGTCACCCTGCTTAAAAGCCTGGGAAGTTGGCAGTAGCGGGTACACCAAGCCTGCAAGGTGGTTCCCAGGTGCAGCAGCAGGGACTCAGCAGCAAAGGTGGGCAGGTCAGACCCTTTCCTGGAACAGGGTCACCAGGAGACTGTTCGCCCAGGGGCCCCCGTCGACCGGCGGCTCCGCCACACGGATACAGCTGAGGACTCGGCTGCTCATCACCTGCCTCTTTGGGGGGGCAGTCCTGGGTGCGTGGCTCTACATCCGCTCTGAAAAGGAACGGCAGCAGAAGCTGCAGCGCATCCAGGAGCTGAAGAAGCTGGCCATCGGCCAGGGGGACTTCCACCTGGTGGACCACACCGGGCAGCCCCGCTCCAAGGCCGATTTCTTGGGGCAGTGGGTGCTGCTCTACTTCGGCTTCACCCACTGTCCAGACATCTGCCCCGAGGAGCTGGAGAAGATGAGCCAGGTGGTGCAGCTGCTGGACCAGGAGCCACAGCTGCCCCGGGTGCAGCCGGTCTTCATTACGGTGGACCCCGAACGGGACAATGTGGCCGCTGTGGCCAAGTACGTGAAGGAGTTCCACCCGCGCCTGCTGGGGCTGACTGGCAGCCCGGAGCACGTGCGGGAGGCTGGCAGGGCCTATCGTGTGTACTACAGCGCCGGGCCCAGGGACGAGGACAATGACTACATTGTTGACCACACGGTGATCATCTACCTGCTCAGCCCCGACGGGCTCTTCCTGGACTACTACAACCGGAGCAAGAGTGAGGCGCAGATCGTCCAGAGCATCAAGGGGCACATGGAGACCTACCAGACGCTCTTCAGCTGAGCACCACACGGCAATAAACGCCCTGCTTGCAGCTAGGGCAGAATGACGGGGCCTGATCTCCTTTCTGTAGCCCAGCACTGCTGCTCCATGCTGAGCGTTGTGAAACAGGCAGCGGGGAAGGGGCCTTCTGCAACTGCAGGGGCTCGGCTCCTCCAGGGCCCCTTCCCTTACAGCCACAGGGGCTCATCTCCTGTGCCAGGTGGGGAGGACCCCCTACAGCCGTAGGGGCTCGGTTCCTCCTGGGCCCAGTGGCCAGGATCCTTCCCCTACAGCCGCAG